AACACTAAAATCTAAACAAAGAAATAAATAAGCTTTAAAAACACAGGCTGGGATTAATCACAAAACTGGAGGCAGACCCAGATTCAGGTCCAGAGGCGGATTCAGGTCCAGAGGTCAGAGTCAGACCATCTTAAAAAGTGCTATATTGGCCAGCTGATATTTGGATTTGCTGGCATGCTTTTAACAATGTTTCCCATAGTTTATCAATGCTCAGAAATGAGCAAAAACATGAGAGCAGCTTTTGATTGGATGGTTGAGTGTTTTCATGTTTTGTGCTGATGAGGGAGCCCAGAAAGTAAAATAGCTGAAAGGGCTTTACGCATATATTTTACGAAAAATATCTTGTGGGAGCAGAAGCGGGGAAGAAGAGGAAAAATCTTGGCCTTTGGATGGAACCAGAGTTTTCTAAGATACGTTGTTTTAAAAATATGGCTATATATCTTTTGTGAATCAGGAATTTTATCAATGCTTGCCCATCTCCATGCTTCTCATTTACAATCCAAATGCAAAAATAAAACAAAATAAAATCCAGATACCTTACATAAACCCCAGGGCTTTAGGTATTTAAAAAGGACTTTATTACATTTAGATTGCATTGGACTGAATTTGCAGAGGTCAACCAAAAAAATATATGCTATAATTATCCCTCACCAAGGAGAAATTCACCCTAGATGTGATCTTATGGGTTAATGTCCCAGTGGATTGAAATGGAAATCAGTCTCCCTCATCCCCCACCCTCCCTCAGGTTTGCTCCATCCCTGTTAATGTTTCTGAATTCACTCAAGACTTGGTTATGTCACTAGACTTGGGGTCCCAGGGAACCAGTAACCCTTTAATATACCTCTACTGTTGATATATTCACTCTTTTCATGCCTGCATCATGTTTAATAATGATCATTTTATATTTTTATAGTAATCAATTTATGTAAGTGTTCATCCTCTTTTCCCATAATCCCTTATGGAGTGGAGTCTGGGCAACTGAATAGAACTGAGTGTTTATTGGCCAGATGCCCTTCCTGTCACCAATGTGGGGTTTTATTCAGCAAATATATTCTCAGTGTGCCCAGAGAAAGAAATATCTACCTTTATCTAGGATTGAACTCACCGCCTCCCGATTGTGTAGTGAGAGTTCCATCTCTAGGCCACTGCACCACCCAATTTATGTAAGTGTTGTTCTTATTTAATTATTGTATGCTTCCCAGAGTCACTTCTTGTGACATAGGTGGCCATACAAATTTGATAAATTAATAAATAAGTCACTTTTCTTGCATTCTCTTCATAGTCCTTAAATAAAAGCATGACAAGTGAATTGAACTTGTCTGAATAATATCTAATGTACATGACATGCATACACATTTACTGTATATTTTCTGGTCTTAAAACTAGTTTTACTTAAGACAGTAAAAAAGTTGTTCATTCAGAACTGCCAGGATTCTCCTATACATCTGAACATCAGATCTGATTTGAAATGTTCAACAAAGTTGAATAAAGTCATTTTGTTTATTCAACTCAATAAATGCGAGATATGTATGAGAAAGATACCAATTCTAGAACATGTATCCTGCAACATAAATCCTTCTTGGACATTACACTGTATTGTACTTCTATGCTGCTTGGACATTACACTGTATGTTCAGAGTAAGATAATCCTTAAAAATGATACCATTTTAAAAAGGTAGGTAAATGTTTATAGCATTAAGAAATAGATCTATTTGTTTTACATTTACATTCAATATTTTTTTAAGGAGAGTCATTGGCTTGAACATTTAGGAATAGAAAAAATATTGAAAATTGCATTTTGATTGTCAGTCAGAGGGGACCCTTTTAGGATAATTAATCCATACTTAACTACACCATACCCAACTATCTTCTAATTGGTAACAACAGAACATAAAAATTGCTTTTTACTTCAGATAAATAATTGGATCAATCTATTCTCATGGACTATAATACTAATACAGTGAAGGATTGATGGGAGAGAGAATGGTTTAAGCTTCCCAGCTCCACATAGCAATTATCCATAAACCCCACTGTTTTCATATTATTTAGGAATATTACATGGGAAATACAACAATCCGCTAGCAGATTGCTAAAGGAAAAATGATTTGTGTGAATATATGTGCATGCAAAAGAATTAGGGGAATGGATAGATTGGTATGTAGATAAAAATACCCAAGCCTATATTTAAATGAATGTTTGTGACTCTCTGAACAAGCAACTAGTGTGAACTGAAGTTGCCATCCCTGGTCTCTAGCAATACATGAGAACAGTTTCTACAAAGTGCTAAAATGATGAAGAATTCCTTTGTTGGATAATTTGGATAAGTTTTATTACCCAAATGTGCTACCTGATCTTTTTTAGTTAAAAAAGACATGATTTTTAAAATCCCCTCTTGAAGGGTATTCTTTGAGTTTGGATTGAGTTTTATTCTCAAATTCTTTGAGTTTCTTTGAGTTTGGATTTTGCTCTAAAACTGACATATTCCTGGTGAAAACATCAGTTGCAGTTGTATTTTAATGGTATTTTATTGGTGCCTTATTTTGGATACTGGAGGACAATATTTGGAAGTCACTGATCATATGTGGCTGCTTCCACTGCAGATGGAAGATTAAACTAAGAGGCATATTCCAACTTAGAGAATAAAGTGAGGCATTTCTAGGCCTTCTTACACCATCTTCTTTTTCTCCTGATCTTGTATGAATGATTGGCCGGGATATAAGCCATGGAGACATTCATCTCCTTATCCAACTCAAGACAATTTTCCATACACTTTGATTAAAACATCTTTAATGATCTCAATCATATCCCACTGAAGAGGAAATCTGACTAGAAAGCTTTGTTCTTGTCTGATGTTAGCATCACCAAAATAGTTGGACAGCATTTCTTTTTACAATGCACAAGGGCATCTTCTTTGACAGTTAAGGTTTAAAAAGGTTAGCTTTTTTTGTTAGATTTGGGAGCAAAATCTTTCCAGTCATGTTGCTTAGCTTAAGTGTCCTAGAATATATTGAAACTAGATTATATAACTAAAAGTTCTTCTCCCATTGACATTAAATGATCATTCTTAATTGCTTGGAATTTTTAATGGAAAGCAAGATGTTAAAATGATAATATGTAAGTCAATTTACAGTCTGATGAAGATGGATTAACTTCAAAGGTTGTGACAGAACTAAAATAGGAAAATCTTCTTTTAAATATGTAGAAGCCAAGCTGCTCAAGAATATATAGACAAGAGAAAATAAGCAGTTTTCTACAGGGGATCAAACATAGAATTCCACTTGTTGGATGTTGGCCTCCATTTTCTATAATGTGGCAGCTCTCTAGTGGTCATCAAGGGTTGACCCATGTCATGTAGCCTTGGGGTTACAAAAGAATGAATTACGATTGCAAGTTATAACTAGAACACTGCCAAAAGGCATTATATTCTCCAAACCAAAAAGACAGATAGAACTGTCTTTGTACTCACCCTTGTGTATTGACCTCAAATTACATTACATATCCATGTCTTGCATCAGTTCATCTATAATATGTCCTGTGACATGACATATTGTCAAAAAATATCACTGAGGTTTTTTTTAAAGACTTCCATCTCTTTAGATACACATCTTATATGCTTATAATACAGAAAAACATACAATAGTTATTTAGTTAGACCAGGCCTGACAGGTTTGCTGTTTGATTCTTATAAATGTTTAATCTTAATTTATTTAATGAAAAGGAAAATAAATATTTAATATCTATATTTTTAATTTAATGGAAGTCTATGTAATTATAAGTTATGGGAAAGGCTCTCATTATGTCTCAACACATACACTTTGTTTTATTGTAAATCAATCTAATCTTTTAATCCTTTCTGCTAGACATTATAATTAATAATTGTATTCTTCCTCTGTACCAGTCCTGTAAAAATATTTTACAGCCACTATGGGCAAGCACTCAACACAATTTCCTAAAAAGACCTGAACAGATTATCCCATGCAGAAGGAGTTTGCTGATATATTAGAGATTGAAGCATTATGTAAATTTAAGTGAAATGTTTTTGAAAGTGGGAATCTGACTTGAGCAATGGTCAGTGGAGTTTTTGAACTTCCAACAGATACAATGATGTCCTATTAAACCCTCTACTTTGGGTACAAAGTTTAATATCCATGTCTCAATCATGGGTATGGAACTCTGATGATGATCAGCTGGGTAAGGAACTATTGTAACAAAAAGCATCCAATCGGTTTCGACAGAAACAAAATGTACATCACCTGTACTATCAAGTTGATCAATATATAGCAATGGAGTCAAATAGTATATCTGAACAAACAATCTTTCATTAGAAATAATTTAAAATTATGAGAGAAAATCATGCCTGAAATTCAGTAGTTCTTATTTTACTGGTTGAAAATTCTCCTTCCTTAATAATTACTCTTGTCTGAGAACTATATTAGTCTTAAATCACAGAGTAATTAGAGCTGACATTCAGAGTACATTATATAGTTGACTATATAATCACAACTTTTATGATGCCAAAGGGCAGTATCTAACTTAACGTTTAATGGCCAAAAGAACAAGAAATGAAAATTGTAACTTGAAAGATAAAATTTTATTCCTACAATAGAAGAAAATTACAGTTCTTAATTCAGAATCATGAAATATTATCTTTTGATACAAAACTTGAATGTAATAATGATGAACATTATTTCTAAACAGTTCCACAGATATATAGAACTTGCATACAATACATGATGTGTATGTGTGCTTGCATGTATATATATAAATATCTGTATATATGCATATACAGATGTGTGCATATGTGTATACATATACATATGCACATACACAAATAAATGTGTGTTTATGTATATACATAATACACATAAAATGTATGTGTATACACACACACACACACACACACAAAATACATAAACACTTTATAAATTCATCTTCCCATCCCCCCCACCCCCGGTAAGTGAAATGCATTCAGGGTTAGCAACCCAACTCTTACTACCTACCGGTCACCTTCAGTCTGTCTGCTCCAATGACAATCTCTTCTTCATCAGCAGAGAAAAGCACTCTACCATCTTCACTTGAGCTAACTTCAAATCTTTTACACTGGGCTTCTACACTTTCAGCACCTAAAAGAGAGAAAACAGAGCACATTATTATAATTTTCCCCAATATTCCTTTTAGATTCAGATTTGGAGGGACTTACATTAATTCTCTATATTAATTCTCTTTTACAGACTGTGCATACTGAGAATTGCCTTGCATTTGATCTTCCAGGGATAACCAAATTCATTGTTTGACCTATGTGACCGAGCTATATGTCATACCAATTTATTTTTACAGTTTTTACATCTACTTCAAAACACTAAAAATTATTTTTACACAACATTTCATCCCCAAAGTGTAACACAGGATTATTGCACCACAAAAATATGTATAATAAACATCTTGTAAAAACATTTAGTATAAAGGTTTTTCTGTAAGCTTAAGAACCATATTATTTTACTGATATTATTAAATTATTAACTGTACTGTTCTTATTTACTATTATTTTTTGTTAAATTGCTACACACACACACACACACACACACTTCTCCTTTCAATTTACAGAAATACTGAACAAAATTAGTATAATGGTCCAAATAAACATTTATGTTTCAATAATGCATATTAGTTTGTTGAAAGTTAAACACTAGTTACAATAAAAATCAATGTTCTTTAATTGTGTATTCTTAATAAATTGCTCATTGACTCGTGAGCAGTGGGCAGGGCAATGATCTGGATAAATTGCCAACATTTTTTATTTACTACTAACAAATAGGATTTCTCTCTAATATATATTTCAATTTACTGTATATGACTCTTTTTAAAATTTACCCTTTAATTGATTTAATAATTTGCAAATAATTTCTATGAAAGGACATTACACTGTTTTTTTCAAAATGAAGTATCCATTATTAAATGGAACTAAAGGAAGAGTGGGAATGTTGCCCTCCAATTACTAAGACATTATTTTAAAGTTTTAAAATTATAAATATAAATAAATAGATATAAGTAATTCAGGGCCATAGCAGAACAAAAATTTGTAAGATTCCAAAAAGTTTGGATTTAAAATACTAATTATTTATTGATTAAGGATTACAATCATTCAGCAATCATCTTACCAGGACTAAAACATGGTTAAAATTTGTCCTTTTTCTGAAAACATCCATATCAAAGGGGCAGAGAAGCATAGAGTTTTATTTGAAATAGCCAGTGGATTCAAAAATCACTTGATCAGTTTAGAAAGTGGGTATGTTGTGGAAGGGGTGGGGGAAATATGGATATCAATTGGGCTTTTAAAAGTTGAGGAACAATAGAAGGTATTTTTTCATCAACTTTTAAAGAAGTAAAGTATACCACCTGGTTTGCTCCTGTGAAGTTTTAAATTGGAAAAATTTCCAGTTTTGGAAATTAGGCTACCAAATCCTACATGGCTGATAAAATCTAAGACCACATTTGCCAGGTGAGTTCATGTAGTTGAGGAAATCTAAGGATAAGGGTTCTATTCATTTGATTTATTGCAGACACTTGTGTTGCATTTCTTTGTACAATGGTTGTAGCCAAGGTTAAAGCTGTAATAAATTGGAACAAGTAAATGTTTTACTTGCACAATTTATTTGCACAGAAATAAACTGAAGCAAGTAAATGTTTTATTGGCACAAAGCTAGCTGGGTGACCTTGGCCACTCACTTTCAGCCCTACAAATGAAGCAGTGGCAAGCTACTTGTGAAAAACCTTGCTTAAAAAGCTGCAGGGAATTGTCCAGGCATTCTCTGAGAATCTATCAAAATTGAATTAAAAAAAAAAAGTTAAGCCCCCACCCCCCAAGAGAATATCATCAAGGATAACGCAATGCATAGTAACACAAAGAATGTTACCAGAGTGGTGCTCTTCTCTTCATGTTGTCTGTTGGAGACAATGATTTCTGATGCACCATCTTCTGCCCATCACTTAAAATTAACTGTTTAACTATATTTATTGCTTTTAAGCAGCAAGCAAAATTGTGTATCCCTGCATCCAGTGAAGAAAGGCCACACCTGTAGAATCCATATAGATGTTGGTCAATTGGGAATTAATTTATATTCTTTCTGTGGTACAAACAATGAAGTCCAACCCTCCTGAATGCCATTGAACTTCACCCAGTTTTACTCAAGTGCAAACTGTTAGTTAGTGAAGATTTCTGTGTATAGGCTTGAGCAATAAACCACTAAACTGGAACCTTTACATGTGGGTCTCATTGTTCCTGACTGACAGCAATTGCTATTAAAGACATAGGAGCTTAATTTCAAGCAGAAAATACTTGGAATCACCTCATCACAGAATTTCCCATTCAGTGAATTAAGAGATACCAATTTCTGTCTATAAGTGTGTATGTGCAGGTGCTAAATAGGAGTTCATCTAATAATTCCAAAGAGGATCCTGCATTAATCTTATCTTGATAAGACAAAAATATTTTTGCCTCTTTAATATAACCTTATTATATTTCATTAACTATAATCTGGGATAGGGCTTTGTCTATGGCATTTGGAAATAGGAATATAGAGATTATTTTTCCTTGTTGGAGAATGGACTACACACGGTCCTCTCAGTTCTGTCTCTTATTAGATAATATTTCACTTCACAACTGCAGTTAGAACTGGAGTCCTGGAAAAAGGAGTTTATTTGGAAACAAAGAAGAGATTGTGTATATCCTACAGCCAATTTGATGTAGTGATTAAAGTGCTTCCCTAGAAGCCAGGAATGGTGGCTTCTAGTCCACTTTAGGCATGAAAGCCGACTGGGTGACTTTGGACCAGTGACTTTCTCTGGGATTGTTCTCTTTCTCTGGGGTTATTGTTGTGGGGAAAAAGAATAGGAGAAGGAGTATTAAATATATTTATTCCCTTGAGTTACTTAAAAATAAAGATGAGATGAAATTCAAACAAACAAAGAAACATGTGAATGTAAACATGTATATCTATGCATTCAATAATCAGGAGAAAAAAATGCCAAGGCATAAATAAATACATATATGACAAAGAAAATGAAGTGACAGATCAATCAAAAGAAAACTTTCAAATGCCATTGCTTCAAATGCTTTACAAGCTAGCAAAACCAATCAACAGTAACATTGTACCAAAAAATGAAAAAAAAAAGACAAGAAAAATGACGGCATGTGATTTTGCATGTTTAGATTATCTCCTTAGGCATTGTTATTGGAAGTGAGAAGTATATTTAAATTTGACACAATTTAAAAGAATGCACACAAAAGAAAAGTAACAGGAATGAACCTTAAATCAAAAACAAAGATGCAAAACTGAAAATGTGTTACAAAAGGGGAAGTGAGAGCACACTAATCAAGAAACTGTAATTCCTATTTAAAGATCAACAAATTTCTCTGTAGGATTAATGAACTGAGAACTGTCAAGGAATTCCAAGTTTGAGGCATGTTAAACATGACTTGTCTTAAGTGCTAATTCACCATCGCACAGGCCAGTCTTTCCTAAAATTGTAGCCTATTTTCTAAAACAGAGATTGGGAACCTTGATTCTATGGCACCAATTCAACCTGGGAGATTCTCCCCAAGCCTACCAAATGTTGACTAGATTCCTTTCTTCACAATGCTTCTTTCTCACCCTCCAGTTGTACAGGAACAGAAAAAAAACATCATTTTTTCAATGTAGATGGTCAGGAAACAATCTGTAGGACTGAGGAAAGTTTTACTCTCTATTCTAAAGTGTAACCATGTAAAGAAATGTGTGTGGTGTTCAGTAACACTAGAGCATGAAAAATCATTGAGTTTATATTTTGGTGAATGCTTAGTAGATAACCCACTACAGAAAAGGATTTAGAAAATGTTCTTCTTATCTTGGTTCATTTCACGGAGTTTGGAATGATCTGGAACTCTATTTTCTCTTGCAGCAAGAAAAGCACCAGGTCATGCAAGATCCAGCTAAGAGGTTTTTGTATACAGCAGGATCAATGATTATTACTTTTAATCTCTTCCTTCTCCTCCTTTTCCATTCCTACCTTTCATCATTGAGTTCAAAGTGAAGATTGGTTTTATTCTTATACCTAAACAAACTTGCTAGATAATGATATGCCAAGTCATTCAATAAGTTATGACTATGGATGGGTAGACTTGAATCTAGTCTCCTAGATGTGAGGCCCACAATTTACTTGCCTCTCTCTAAGATCTCTTTTCCCTTTTCTTTAAAAATTGAACAGGAAAACAGGAGTTGGTAGGAACTTCCCAATTTCACAAAAGTTATGAACTTTGAGGATGCTTTGTGAAAATAATTCCTCCCAAAGAAGATTTAGGAACTGACAATGCCAAAATGAAGGGAGAGAAGACAAAGCACACTTGTTACTAAAATTTTGCTGATCTGTTTAAGCTCTATGAAATAGCAGATTGATCTGAAAGAGTGGCAATTTTTATTATTGGAATTAATATGTGATTCCTTTTATGTTGTGGAGTTATGAAACTAGAACATTAGTGTCTGTGGGATGTGTATGTGAAGAAGTCAAGATAATGGGCATGGCAACATGAACAAAAAACCCCTGCATACGTGTAATATTGACACACACATATTGACATATATAAAGAGCCAGGATTTGATCACAGAACATAAACTGCTATTTGGAATAGTTTGGGAAAATTAAATACAATTACAACTAATTTTTTGTTTGAAAGCTTCAACTGAACATTTATTTACATTATGAGATACAGACTGTTCATCACCTCTCAATAAATCCATTAATTCTGATAGTAATTGTTTTGTAAGTGTTTTATGGTGTTACCAAGTTTCCTTTTGGACTGATTTCTTAGTGCTCTCTCCATTCAGATCTACTGATTGCAAGGCAAGGCTAAAAATTAAGCAACAGATAAGGGCTTTTAGAATAATTTATTGTATAGCTCTTGATAATATCTGTGGTATATATGTTAAATCCATAACCTTTCTCTATTTTAAAGTGGAAGTCTATGAATGATGATGGGTTGTTGCCAGATTCAGCCCGAGAGTGACATAGAACAATTCAATTAAGGTTCAGTTCTTTATTTGCTCACACCAATAGATAGAACCTTGCCAGATTCAACCTGTGCTACTTT